AAGACTTAAAAATAACACTTAAATATATATAATAAGAGTTCCACACATAAGCCTTCATCTGGGGACATTTCTTCTGACATACACTGAAGTTCCAATAACTCATATATTTAAATAACAAAATAAAAAATAAATTAATACATTGCACTTTTTAAAAGGATAATTTTCTTCAGAGTATCTTTATCAATGTTGCTATTATTATTATTGAAATGCTGGAGCACTGCGAGAGTAACATTATGATACCCACTTTAAGTACCTAGAAGTCAAAATTTCAGTGCCTTTCAGCTTCATTTAGACTCCTAAATTATTCAGGCACTTCCGAACATTTGATTCATGGTCCATTAGTATCTGAGCTGTGAAATTGAGAGTCCTAGCTACTTCAATCCATACTCTAAACAGCAGATAATGCTTCTTAAAGAAATAAAGAAAACCAGATATAGTTATGTATTTCACCTTCTCTCAATCCAGAAACAGCAGAATAAGGAAGTGAAAATAGTTATGATGGAAAATCATCCAATGAAATTTCAGTTGCTATTTCAATCCTGTTAAATAAAGGAATGTTATGAGCTGTCTTTCAAATAAACTCTATCCATAACATTGTGGTTTTCCAGATTTTTGTCTTATATCATGAATTTGTATAAGTATACTATGCTCTACCGCAAATACCAACATAGAGGTTTTACCAACTGCCTTTTGCTGTGGAATTGAGGGCCAAGGTCAAATTCATGTCCTAAATAAAATGAATTCATCTCATGACTGGTATATATTAGCTCACAACAGAAGGACCAAGAATGATTGGCATTCTTTCTTGCAGCTCTAGGAAGATGTGAGTTTATAATGAAAGTGATTTATCTCTCATCTTTTCTAAATTGATCCTTCGAAATTAAGGCAGAGACTTTTTCTCTCTACCTTATGTGAACAATACTTGATCTTTCAAATCCAAACTTCTCTATAAACATAGAGTCCTGTCAAATTATTTTATGAAGTTGCAGAACATTTAAAGTAAGTATATAGATTAGATACAACACAGAGGATTGAGGCAGGCACATTTAGAGATGCAATGACGAGTTATCAGAATAGTTTTGATTTTAATTCAGATTACAGTAGTACAGGAATAAATTACTATAAAATTTCTCAAGATTTTCATTTTCATGATGACACTGGCTATAGTTTTTTGTCTGTTTTTTTTTGAGATTTAATGCTTAGTTAATTGGACATGAAAATTTTGTATTTATAGGTAAACCAAGATTGTTTAGTGGTTCAGCTCAGATAAGATTTGATAAATTCCTAAATTGTTTTAAAATTATCCAGAATGCTTGTCCTGTACTACTATTGCTTCTTGATGTTTAAGAAAATTAGAAACTGTCCAAAGTTTAGAACATGTCTTTCATACTATTTCTGTTGAACCCGATAAACACAGAGCTGTGATAAAACAATCTGACTGAATGAAGAAATAAAGAACACAAAGATTAAGGTTAATTTACTTTTAGGATGAAGGTTATTTTTTTTCCCTTAAATTTAGCCTATTATCTTTTTTTAGATTATGATATTAACAGAAAATTTAAAAGGGCGATATTTGCATATCATTGTATGTGGCAGGACAGCTAACTTCAGGACATACTGATGAGTCTTAACGTACTGTCCATGTCAGAAATGTATCATCTTCCTTCTCAAATGAAAGTACTAATGAAAGCAATGTGGAGCCTATGACAAACACCACCTTCTGCTGCCTAAATTAACTGTCTTTCCTCTACCCTGAATTACAGTATTCATACAGCTGAGATTTATTTCCACAGAATTAGCCTATCAATACCCCTCGGCTCCCAATCACCCTTGTTTTATAGAATAACACACTAACCACCTTTGTCCTTTGTTCTAGACAAATATACTTCATAGCTCTTTTGTTCTAACATATGGGTAAGTAATAGCTTTCAAAGTTTAAACTGAAGAGAGTTTTTACTTTGAACTCAAATCTTGTTCTATTTTAACACATGCTTTTAGAGTTATCATCTTGGGCCAGGTCCTCAGCTGCTAAAATTAGCATAACGTGATTACCTGCAATAAAAATACACTAACTTATGCTGCAAAGGTTCGGGCCCCGAGTCTTTAGAAGGGTTTACAATGGTATTTAGTAAGGATTTATACATGGAGCTTCTTTGGTGTTTAAACAAAGGAGAACATGCCTTAGCAATTAAGTACGTTAGACTTAGAACTCATAGCCCCTTGGCAGCTCAGATCATTAGAGCTCATTTAGTATTGGGCCCTCTGTAGATTTGACAAAAAAGGTACTGAAAACAATTTATATCCTGAAGGACAAAAAAGGAGGTCAAGGAGTTTTCTGAACAATATGTACCATAAAACCCCCAAAGAGCCATGAATTACACTTACAAAGTTAAATGTCATTGAAAAATGACTCGACCATGAAACCGAGAAGAAAACTGCCCTTAACTTAACCTAATTTGGCAATTTCACTTGTCTCCCCCTAAACCAGATTGAATGAAATCTGACAAATATGGCACTTCATCTTGTGTGCAAATTTGTTAATAGAACAACAGTGTTTATGCTGCAAAAATTGTGCATCACAAATATTGATTTTGGTGCCACTTTCATTTCAGGTAAATTGTTTGAACAATATGACCATGATGAATACCAGAAAGAAAAAGCTAACGGGAAGAAAAAAATGCTGACCCACTTGTTCTGATTCAATATCCTAGCTGGAAAATGGCAAATGAATCAACCTTTGCCATTCCTTTTGGAAGCTCAAATCAATAGAGGAGATTTCATATATTATATATATAAATACAAATACATTTGTTTTTATCATTCTACCATTAGAATGGGAGAATTTAAATTCATGCAAGAAGTGTAAATAAAATCAGATGATTACCTGCACTTCATATGATACTTTTTTTCCCCCGTAGCTCTTGAAGTAATGTGAGAAATATGTACAAAAGAAATGGAATTTTAGAGTAGAAATATGATGGTTCGTTTTTAATTATTTCTAAATTAATTAAATTACTAATTTTTTTCCCCAATGACGTATGTGAAAAGTTATTTTAACCTTTCTTGTCATGTTACTGGCCCCTTCCAAGTTTGCAGTCAATACCTCTGGCCTTTGTAATCCATTTATCTTTTAAGAAAAAACTTATACTTTCAAGCACACTGTTGATGAAATAATGTATATCCTTTCACCTCACATAGTAATTCACCTCCCCAAAAACTTTGTTGTCTGACAGTGTTTTATAGTGTTTCCAACTTTGAACGGTGTTACCATTAACACCTTCGCAAAAAGATACGCACTAGCTTGTTCTAGAAACTCCTCTGGAGCTGGTGATGTGTTTGTTTCACCCATTTCAAAAATTCACATTAGGCGAAGCTGAATTAAGTGCTACAAGAGCCTCTCTATCTTAGAGGAGTGCTAGGGGATTTAAGATGTCTAGCCCGGGTATACCACAGCCATTCTAGACAACTGAAAGTAGAGAGAGAATTCCATGCAAGTAGCTGGAAATTATGAAGTGCAAGATGAGGGAGGAACTGCTTATAAGGTTAAATTTACAGAATCAAATGAAAGAAAGATAATTTTAGGCCATCTATCACAGTCTCTCTAATAATATGAGCACTTATATGACAACACAAAATATGATGAAATGTATGTAACCTAATTAGACTGAGCAAACAATTGCAGTTACCAGAAAGAGCTTCTGCATTCCTAAGGAATAGACTGGACGCTGTAGAGCACGCTAAAGACAGTCTTTTCCATCTTTGATTTCAATGAGAAAGCCAGCTATAGCAAGGCTTTTCAGAGAATTTTATACTATTTCCTATGATCATACACTCAGGGTGAACCGAGAACTGCCGATTCTAAGAGACAAAAAAGATTACAGAATTTTCTGGATATAGCTTAAGATGTAACCCATTAAAAATAATGGAAAAACTCTACTGACTTGAGTTGAATTCTGGACTAGAGCTTTAGCAATCACTGTCGTGAAGCTTTCCTCGAAGGAGATGACAAGAATGAACTGAACAAACAGTTGCAGTGTTGGCAGTCCCATTAGTCCTAGATTTTAATTTTTTTTCGCTTTTAGCAAAATAAGTTCCCTCAGACTAATGCAAGGCCTTGATCTAAAGGCAATGACTGCATTCCATGCCCAAAGAATAAAACCCTTTGTGATTTAGGTCGCTATAGTTTTCTTTTTGTGTTTTTTTTTTTTTTTTTTAATGGGAGAAACAGCATAAGATAGAAATCGATACAAGTGGTAGATAGCTCTGCATCCTACTTGGAATACTCCACAGAGACTCTTTAGTCCTAAAACCATACAGCTCCAGTCCTATCACTTTAGTCCTCAAACTGATCCTTCTTTTGGAGGATTAATAAGCTCTGCAATGTTATAATAAAGTAGCTTGAACTATTACCGCTCTGAGGATGTGCCAAGGTATGCTGAACTGTCTATTTAGCAATCCACTGGGGAGTTAAATTCCTTTTTAAAATCATGCTAACACATTTTAAAAAGCAGTCCAATTTATCTTGTGCATTCTAACAGAAAACACTGTGAATAAAACCAGTATCAAGCTTAATCTATGACCACATTTTGCATTGGTTGTCTTGTTAAATCCGCACATTCTATGTATACAATGAATTGGACACTTCCAACACGAAGAGCTTTTCTGCATTTAAAGAACAGTTATTGTTTGTGTGTGCCATCTAACTCTCTTTAATCCCATGTGATTGCAGCTAACAGAAGTAATTTGCCCTACACAAAGTTTCCAAGTAACACGGATACCTAAGTCTTTTAAATTTGTTTCATCAACTTCTGTCTTAATAGTGACCGATACGTTTGCTTTGTGCGGAGCTGCAGCTATACAATTTTCCCTACTACTGCTCCTTTTTCCTCTGCTTTTCACATCTAAATTCAATAGATATAATCCAAAAGGAAAGATTTATCTTCACTCTTCAACAAAGGAATTATTCAGGTTTACTTGTGGCACACATTCTTAATACTGCAAAACAATGTATATAGAAGGTCAGAAGTTTTGTCTGAACTTTGATGGATCAGTAAAATTGTGATGAACTGTATTTTTAGCCCTCTTTTACAATAATCTGCTACAGAATTTTACATTTAAATTTTTATTCTGTTCTTTTTTTCTACCTATTGAATAACTCCAAAGCCCAGAAAACAAACTTGCAACTTAGAAAGAAAATGCCCTATCGTATTACCTTCTTCACAGTTTTCTCCTTTATAGCCAACAGAACAGACACAATTCCCTTCGATGCAGGAACCGTGACCTCCACATGAGGGATCAATACACTGGCTGATGGGTACATCACATTCTGGACCTTTCCAGCCACTGTAGCATAAGCAGGTGCCTTTAGAGTATTGACCATTGCCACTGCACAGTACTGGGCAGGCAGCTGGAAAATTGAACGAAAGAAAAACAGCATACAGGGTCATACATGTATTCATGTAAAAGCGCACTAAAAAAATCTGCTACCAAATACTTATACATAAAGTATGTTAATTCACCGGGGAAAAGAAATCTAAGCTAATTTGTAGTAGTCAGTCCTTCATTTCCAAAAGAAGTAATTTGATTACTATTTAACAAGTAATTTGATAACTATTTAACAAAACATCCATGCGTTGGGCATTCTGAGAATTCAACTACTATTCTTTATAGAATAGTGATGATGTTTGGGATAACTAATGAGGTAATGTGAACAGGTTTGAGTCTGACATTATTCTGCTTTGTTCCACTAGGTAACATCCAATTTTCACAGATCGCAGAACACAAAACATTCAGTCCCCATAACATTTTATTATATAACATCTTTCATCTTCCGTAACACTTTCTTAGCGTAATGTCCCTAAAAAGTTTTAGGCCCTTTGACTTCTTTTTTTCAGTGTAAGAATCTTGAACCCAGGAATAACACAAGCTTTCACCTACAACAAATGCACCTTGCCACCAATATCCCTGCAGACTCCTTTTACCCTGCGTGCATTGGCAAGAAAGCACCATTAATCCTTATCCGTCCCTCTTGTATTATTAAGGGCGCAAGACACATTCATTTATGCAAATGAAGTGAAGCCTATGAATAATAAAAGTAGTCAGCAAGTCTTGGATGCCCGAAATCAGATGTTGTACATATGCAGAGCAGTGGAAAGAAACAAGCGGCCAGTTGCACACAAATGTTACACTAAGGCATATTCACACTCCTAGATGCCCCCGTCTCCCATACGAACATGGCAATCTAATATGCCTGCCAAAGACTGAATGTGTGGTCACCAGCCGGAGAAATGGAAAAAATAACAGAAGAATAACAGAAACTGGGAGTAATGAAATGAATCTTTGAGAAAAGGTACACTTGTGTGCTCTTCTCTCTGATGCAGTTTCATAAAGACTTCTAGAAAAGTATTTTCCTGTCCTTTCACCCTTCAAAGTAATTAGAAACTAACAGCTAGTTTTACAGTGCCAAAAATATACTCAAAAGCTACTATTAATCATTAAAAGGTCCTACTGCGTTCTTGCTTCTATTATCCCTTTAACCTGAATGATCAGAAAGAACCCAAGTAATTGATTTCCTACAAAGAAATGTGTAACTGTCCAGTTGTACAACTTCTCCACTGTTCAGTCCTGTAATCCTTATTAATCTTAGCTGTCCCATTGATCTGTTGCAAAAACGCGTTTCAGGACAGATTTTTTTCCAAGAATTTTCTTATTTGAAATGGGAAAAAAATTGATCAGAAAAAAAGATATATTCAGATTTGTAACCTGAGATGTTAGCTAAAATTTAGACTGCTGAGAAATATTTCAGTTAAGACTACAGGTTGATGGGCCACATGTAACATGTCTATCTTTTTTAGCCTATCTTTTCTGCCGTAGAGGAATAAAAAAATCAGTGTGCTGAAGTTTGGGGTTTTTTTGCTCCCCCTACTCTGTCTTAGTGCCATATTGTCAGTCCTTTGGTAGCAACAGGACTTCGTTCTGCTTCATTCCCGGTGTTCTCTCTTACTATGAGTCTTGTTCAATCTTTTTCCTCCTCACTCCAAAAATGAATACAAATCTGAATAAAACAATGTCCAGCAGCATCCTTCTGATTTCAGATGTGACATATGTTCACAAGTGCTTTACTCAGTTCAGTGAAAAAGTTTATGCTAAAGTTCTACTGATTTTGCTTTTTGCAGCTGGTTTCAGAATGAAGTTTACTGAACCAGCTGGGTTGAATTTACAGTGCAGACAGATATCTCTTACAATCCATACTGCACTCTATGTCAGCCTATTTTGCATCTTTTTGCATGTGATCGTGAAACACCCTTCCATGATATGTAACACACCGAACTAGTAGCAACTTGTACTCTGTATGGCTAACTATTCTTTCTGTCTGCACACATCACATCATGAAATCTACCTCAGTTCCTCAGCACGCATTACTTTTCACTGCCTAGGTATACTAACTGCTGCTACTGCAAGTCATATAGGTGAGCCATAAAGAAAGGGATCAAACTAGGACCACTTCCACCCTTCGGGTAGGAAGACCTGGGGACACAAACAATTCCTTTGTCCATAACTCTCCATTTCACCGCAATTAAATGTCTTGTTTGGGCTGACGTTGATACATTTTCCCAAGTCGCTGTAAGCAAGGTAGTAACTTCAGTCCTGGTCTCTTTACTTGCCATGCTGTAGAGAAACTGCAGGTGAGTCATCAGAAGGTAGCTTGTCGATGCCACCTTCCACATCCTGACACACTGTAGAGACACTGTCTCTTTTTCTGGATCTCATCTTAACATAAAAATATCTCCTTCTGGAACAAGGCACCTCTTAGCTCCTGTAGTGGTTAAGCTTGCAGTCCCTTTGTTCAAGTCCAGGACAGAAGGAAGTAAAATTGTCAGATGCAAATTCTCTCTGTGCTTCTGAGCCATTGCAGAGACTCCACGTTATCATTACTAATGGTTGCTCAACGTGGCCTCTCCAACCGCATTGGGACATGCCAACTTATGGCTTGTTTTTGCCCATCAACATCTTCACGATGCTGTGATAAAGCTGCATGGAAAGAAAAGGTCCCAGGAAAGCTAAACGAATCAGTAGACAGTTTCTTCGGACAAACCACATTTGTTCAAGTAGTTATAAGGACAAAAAGTTAGTGTTGATTTACAAGCTGGAAAAAAGTAAGGACTAGATTTTTTTGGTTTGTTGTTTTACAGGTCAACGTGTCACTCATCACCAGAAAAGACTTGTTCTGCAAACCTCTCCTCTGGAGTCAAAACTCAAATAAAGGCAATAACTCAGTTTGAACAGCACAGTTCCCTGCAAGAGGGACTGAGCAGAAATAAATCCATTATTAAAATAAATAAAAAAACCAAACCAAAACCCAACAATCAACTTAGATGCGACCACTCTAGACCTAGCTAGGTAATAATGTGCCAGCCACCAGGTGTAAGTTTGCTTCTCTCCTCGCCTTGCCCCTAGGTCTCATTAAGCAATGGGCAACTGTGATCTAGCTAAAGATTTCTATACCTGCTATTTGGAACATGTCTATGGGAAGGCCATTCTGAGATCCCATTTTTGATCTGAATTTGCAGTGTTCAACTTCCGGAACACCAGAGGCTGGCACAGCAGAAGAAAGATTACTAAATTGTGCTGGGTCTTGGATGGAAGAGCTCCCACAGTAGTTTTTTAGTGTTCCCTTGCCTTACTCTGGTGCTTCAAGAATTTAAGTGAAGTTGAAAGCCATGTCACAGCTTTTTCACAGAAATTTTTTATTCCTCTCTTCATGCTTCTACGGTGTCAGAGGTCTTGCTATGGTTCATAAACCTGTTCGGTCCTTGTGAAGCTTGTATATAAGTTGAACAGCAATCTGCTTTCAGTGATCTGCCGCTGCAGTACGCATTGCCAAGATGTTAGTGACACCAGAACTGACTTTGGACAAATGAGAGAATCTGTCATTTAACTTTAGGGATTAAATGAATGGTTAAAATTAAGACACTTGCAACCTAAAGCCACAAAGTTTAATCTACAACCCTCTGCTGGGATTATTCTACAACTACATACCAGGAATATCACTTTGAGAATGAGAAAAAATGACAGAGGTTCTCGGTCAGATTTTCACACTTCCAATACCGCCATGTCACTGAGATTGCAGGAGAAACATGTAAGCAAGAATGCAAGTAAGCATAGGTTATAAGAAGCTGGCTTGTTGCTGCTGTTAATAAATAGCTCTTCATTAATGTTTCTACTGTGGGTTTAGAGGCTAAATGATGAACAGAGAGAGAGAGAAAATCAAGCTGCTCTTCCACAGAAAACAGAAGCAGGCAGTCTAAAAAGAGGTCTGCTAGGCTTATTTACTAGACCACGTTGCTGCAGGGTGAGACCCAAAACAGTCCACTCTAATTTTACATTCAGGTTGCTTCAATTCACGTGTGAACGACTCAAGAGTCATCTGGAATTCTTGTTATCTAGGACTGCTTATTACCCCTATGTGAAGTGGATGGCCCCCATTCCAGGACAGAATTGACTGTTCAAAGTCTGTTGGAGAAGTGTGAAAGGCGGCTGATTTACGTAATGGAACAATCAAGTTCCATCTCATTTCTGTGGACAGAGAGCTTGCATAAAAACTACCCATGACCAGCACTGTCAAAAACTGGATAGAGGTTTTCAGGATCAGTTATGGCAACACTCAAGTAAGTTTAGCGCAAGGGTATAGCTCCTGAGTGAAGTTTAAATAAGCACCAGAGGTATTAACCCTAGCTATGATTTCAGTGATGTGATTCTCCCCTTTACCAGTATTTGAACAAAGCAGACTAAGTTCTTAACATGGGTCTCAGCTGATCAAGTTACAGCTAATAGATACTACAGATCTTTGACTCCTATGGGCTGCGCACATTTAAGAGCATGAATTGAACAGGAAAGACCAGCCAAACATCCTTCTAAAAGTTCTCTCTCTAAAGGTTATCTTTGGATAGGTATTTTTGAGCAATGTTAATATTCCCTGATGCATGAGGAAAGGTGGTTTGATAAGAACCTATGGACTAGGAGGGGAGATGGTGAGGGATAATGCCCAATGGTCTGGCATCAAAAGCCACCATTTCATCCAGTGACTCTTAACATATAGGTATCTCAGCTGCAGTCTGTGTACACACTCCTTTCACCCACCCTTACGGTATTCACACATACATACTCACCAGAGGTGTTCTTCTAGAGCATGGCAAGAAACCAGTAAAGGATATCTGAGGAGTCAAACTCTTGGAGGCTGTTGCAGAACTTGGTTTAGTTACACAGCTGCTTGGTTGACAGGCCTTCCCCTGCTACTTGAAGTTCCAAACAGGCTTTGAAGGCAGAGTTCTGGCTTGGTTCCTCTTGCTGTAGAGCAAACATTACCCTGGTGCAGAGAGAGTCCTGTACCACTAGGACCTAGGCTGA